TATATATATATATATATTTATTGAGGTATTAATGATTACAGAGATGCATTAAGTTGTGTCTTTCGTATCTGCCCGGAATTTAGCTGCAAGTCCAAATGAAGTCACATATACTGTATATTCATTTAACAGATCTTGTAAATACAGCCTCCATTTTCATAGTGCTAATATAACTTACATGTTACAACAGTTGTGCAGGGAGTCTAATTATGACTGTGTAGTCCAATGGGCAGAGAAAAGACCAAGTGGACTAATTTACACAAACTGGTCAGACACGCCCCTTTCTCTTTTTCACGATACAAAACGGTAATGTAACTTGTGATAAGGGGTGTGGTCATTACTCAGCTCTGCCAGCACAGAGCTCTCTGTGCACAACATAATTTTCACTGAGAGGAAAAGGTATTTTAAGATTTTTCCAACTAACAACCAGTCACATTAGAGATAAAATGTGAGGCCTCATATGGACTTTAAAATATATATTTACCTATTGGTATTGGTTTTGACTTTTCTGACCCTTCTTCTATATCTCAGGGAGATCCTGGTAACAAAGGAGATAAAGGCATGCAGGGAGAGAAAGGTACACCGGGAGAACCTGGAAAGCCAGGACACAAAGGTCACACTGGACTCATGGGCCCAGTTGGGCCATCAGGGGAGAGAGGATCATCGGGCCCACCCGGGTCACCAGGAGCTCCAGGACTAAATGGGCCAAGGGTAACTATAATTGAACATTTGCATTGCAGAGAATCTGTTGTCTGTGTTTTCTTTTTCATAAATATATAAATGTAATGTAAATACATTTATCAGTAATACACATACGTGTTAGACATGTGCAAAATTCCGAATCCCAATGCATCCATATGTGTCCGAATCCAAATTTCCCTTTCCCAATTTCGCATCCCGTCCGAATTTCGTTCAAAAACTAAACTGAATCGGACATGTAACTTCTTTCTGGCCAATCAGATATGTTTTTCGGTTTAATGCATCCGAATGGGTCTGAACACGAATTTTAGTTACGGCAACATGAGAGCCATACACAGTGTATACATATAATCAGTGGCGTAACAACCGGGGGGGGCGGGGGGTCGTTCGCCCCGGGTCCCTGGGTGATATGTGTGTGTGTGGGGGGGGGGTGTACAGGGACAATGATAACATACTTGGAGTTGTAGTTCCTTAGCTGATATATATGTGTGGGGGTGGGGGGTACAGTTCCAGTGGATGTTTATATAATATGGGGGGGGCGGAAAAAAAAATGTCTGCCCCGGGCACCCATAACTCTGGTTAAGCCACTGCATATAATACTAAAGCTGAGGCTCCCAGACCGGAATGGCATCCCAGATCCGAATTTCCGAATTGCATTCGAGAGCTCCTGAATGCCATTTGGGTCTGGGAGCCTCAGCTTTAGTAATATATGTATATGGTTTTCTGTGGTAGTTGCAACGAACCTTCGTAAACTCATCCGAAACTAACAAAAATTTGGATTTTGTCGGAATCCGAAACCCGAACCGAATTAAATTTCAGATCCGAATCCCGAAATAACGAAATATCCGAACCAAATTTTTCCGCAGCTTACATGTCTAATATGCTTAAAGTATATTTCTACTTTTGCAGTCAAATTTGAGAAAACCCCTCTATATGTTTGCTGTGTGTTCCCATTCACACAGGATATGGAAAAATAATTAACAAAACACATATTTTCTATATATATACCGCTCCAAGCTCGCTCCCGAGATGGACTACAACCTCGTGTATGGTTCACTAATTTGTATTGTGATTGTAGTCCATCCCGGGAGTGAGCTTGGAGCAGTGACAACTTTACAACAGACACAGGGACTATGGGGAACAAAAGTAGCCACCCTCCAGAAGGAAGGACAGTGTCAGCACCAATTCAGAGATGATTTGAGGATCTTCAGCCGAGTGATACACAAATAAGATACATCTTTGCTCATAGTTGAGGTACTTGAATGTATTTTAAGATTTAAAGGAGAACTATGAGGTGAGTGAAAATCACTCATCCTCATAGTTCGAGCCGGCGTGTGACAATGAAACTGTCACACGTCTGCTCAATAGATCGGGAAGTGAGGGAACACATCCCGTCACTTGCTCACTTCTCAAACATCTCATTGTCAGTCACGGCTTCCTGCAGGGATTCCCCCCCTCCCCGGTCCTCCAGCTATAGCTCGCGATATACTGAGCTTTGGGTCACAGGAGGAGGTTAGTTTATGTCCTCCCGTGACCCTTAAGAGAACTATGGGGAAAAACACTTACCCCATAGTTTGGTGTCACTTTAATAACAATGTTTTTCCTGTACAGAAATTATCATCTCACAATTGTCACCTCCTGGAATTACTTCACATTTCTGTAGAACATTACAGTGAAAGTTGCTCTGGATTTTTTGTTCTTTGCATCTTCGCTGCGGTGACATTTGGATCTGCTCTTAGCATGAAATGTCAAACCTTAAAATCGCAGGGATAAAAGTTTAACTTCCAACGTAATCGCTTTTTTATGGCAATTTTACAACCAGAGAGATGAAAGCCGGAGAGACAGAAATAACACTCAGAAATAAAAATCCTATTTGTGATTCGAGTTTTTAAAGTGTTCTCCAAAGTTCAGCTTTGCTTTCCTAAAGCTGAAGTTTAATCTGCATATATTTTATCTTCCTGGGCCCCTCCCTCTCCACCCTCATGTGGACATTTTTACATAAAACCTTTCAGATTTTATTACACACCTTATTTTGGACCCAGTGATCTCATCACTGGGTCCCTGTGATATGTTGGCAGATCATATCTGGTGTCAGGGTGCTGTACATAACCTCCTGAAGACAGCAGACCGTAACACACACATGTGATGCCTAGATTCCATGATTAAAAGAACTGAAATCCAATGAAGGAAAGGGGCGGGCTAGGGACAGCCAGGCTGGGGTGGAAAGCGTTAGAGGATGCTTGACATCCTCCAGCCTGGAAACAAGGGGATCTGTATCTGGCAGCAGCTTCTAATGCACATTTTGCTGCTACTTTTCTTCTTTAGAGGAGCTTTCTCCGTGCCCCAAGTGATATCCCCATGGGTCCCAGCCAACACCTGCCTACCGTGCTCAGTCTTGTCCAATGCATGCCCCTCTGTCCATTGCAGTGCTGGCCAATAATGTAACTTCCTGGGTAGGGGGTTGGGGGAGGGCAGGCATCAGCAGGAAGCAGAGCATGTTTCTGTAATGAGAAAATAGGGTTCCCTTCATTAAATAAAAAGGTGGATAATGGATTTATATTGGCGTGTTCTTTTTTGTTTTGTTTTTACATTGACAAAATAAATAAATGAATGCAGTTTTTTGGCCCCGACATGTAGGGAGTGCATGGTGATCGTATGTATGACGCACTCTTATGGGTCCTTGTAAATTATATTTAAATGACATGCCTTTTATGAATGGGTCACCTATGCAATTGTAACAATGTTCTTTCTGTAGGGTGACCCGCCTTCAACAGAAACTCTAAGGAGACTTATTCAGGAAGAGCTGGGAAAACAGCTCGATGGTGAGTCAGATACAAATAATATGTTTGCATGTTGTCTGCCGATCACATTTGCTTTGGGCTGTGTTTTTATCACTTTTTTTTTAAACTCCCACATGGGCTGCTGAGCCCCATAGAAAATAAGATCATCATCTTCAAGGGAGACACTCCTGGGAAATCCCCATTATTTCCTACAGGAGTCAACAGGAACATGCACGTACCTTGCTCTCAGTCCTGGCCTGCAGGCTTGCTGTCTACATGCACTGCATACAGGATGTTTACAAACAAAGCAATGCTTTCATTGCCAGTAGTCTCCTGTGACAGCTCTCATGGACATGAATTAGCCAGAGCTTATTTTTTAATTTACCCTTGCAGTGGGGTTACCCGCACTGCAAGTGTTAACTGTTAATTTAAGTCTAGGGCTGAAAATAACAAAGTTATACTCACCCGATCATCCAAGTCCCTCCAGCCTGTCTTCTGCTCCGCTGCAGCAATGGAATCTGCCTTGGCCTCCTCACGTCCTATACACTGTGTATTGGACATGATGAGGGATGTTAGCATCAGAGCGGAAGATATGCACCAGGAGCCGGTCTAAGAGCAAACCTGCTCAGAGGATCAGGTGATTCCTCCCTAGACCAAAATGAGCAGTTAACCCTTGCAGTGCAGGTGGCGATGGGGGGAGGGGTAGCCCATTGCAAGCCTGGTTATAGAAAAACAGTGTGACGGCAAAAACTGAGGGCCAACTAGATGGAATGTATTTATTGTTCTCGTTCCCTTTTTAGCAAAATTAGCCTACCTCATGTCTCAGATGCAGCCAGCACCAATCAAATCGGCTCAGGGCAGGCCGGGACCTCCAGGACCTTCCGGGAAGGACGGAAATGATGGCAGATCAGGGCCCCCTGGAGAGCCGGGAATACCAGGGCGTATGGGGCCTGAAGGGCCTTCAGGACCAATGGGTCCGAAAGGTTTGTAGACACCATTTCTTTTTTTTTTTACTTTTTAATTCATTTATTTATTTATTTATTTTTGCTTTTTTTATCTTTTCTTTTTCTTCTTTTTTTTTTCTTTACTATTTTTATTTTTGTGCATTATTTTGCATTTGGATAAATTGAGCCACAGTTTCTACTTATAGTCTTTAAATAAAAATCTGATATATGGTGTGATGTATTTTACAGGTGAAAGGGGAGCTAAGGGGGAGAGAGGAGAATTCGGAGTTGGACAGAGAGGTGAAACAGGTCCTCCAGGAATCCCGGGTATGTCATCTTTTCTTCTGTACAGGATGAGTCATGAGGCTGAGCACCATTTACTGCTTCACCGGTAACATAACCGTGGCATGGTTACGGGAAAACCTCATCTCTATGCGTATGGGGTCAGCAAATGACTTCTATTATACGGAAAGTGCAGTATGGGGGGAAATCAGAAGACGCACTTTCATGGGTTTTACTTGGGAAACTAAACTGCAAGTTATTTACTGTTCAACCAAACATTAGAAGGAGGAAGATGTTAGAATTCAATGCAATTGAAGGTATTTTATTATATCTGCTTGACTAATGTAAAAGCTACCTTTTGATCCTGCCCGCGATCTTGTGAGCTAATAACTTCCTGTGCTGTGTTACGGAATTGAAATGGGGGTAGCAGATAAGGAGAGGGCCAAGTTCTTTGTAATCCACCGGAAATTATGTAAGCAGGTCTGACACCATGTGCTTAGGAATTCAGAGTTGTGTCATCATATCAACGAGGACGGTAGGAGAGCACTACATTTTCTGGCACATCAGCAGTGCCAATAACTTGCGGTGCCAATAACTCTACACCAAACAGTACAACTCTACACCAAACAGTACAGGTGCTTGGTTCTTGTCGATAAGTACCTATAGTGGTATGTTTACAAATGTCACAAAGCTAAATACACTTAGCTGTACGTCTATGGAACACACACGTAAGTCCCAACTGAAAACAATTGCATACTGCTTGAGATGGTTTCTAGACCACCTCCTGTTTAGGGAGGAGAGTCCAAGACAGTGATGGACTTTACCAAAGTACAAAACCTATTGTGCAATGTTAATTGTAACAGGGCCCTTTGAAACTCATCTCTTGCCTTGAAACCCTTAGAATGCTCCAGATCCTGGATATGATTTTTGAAAAATGAAATCCTAATATTAAACCTAATTTTTCCTTCTAGGTATCCCTGGAGAACCCGGCTATGCCAAAGATGGGATACCAGGTACTCCAGGTCCTCAAGGTGAATCAGGAATACCAGGACTTTCTGGACCTCCAGGCCCTCCAGGCCCCAATGGACAGTGTGACCCATCACACTGCGCATACATTGCTAGCCTTGGATCAAGACCTGGTAATGTCAAAGGACGGTGAGACCAATGGAGACCCAGGAACACTTGAGTCTGAAACTTGAATTTATTTGCTGTTTTGAAAAAAGAAAAAAAAAGACGCATCCAAAATGAAGGGTCCTGACAGGCATCGCCGAATCCAAGAACTTCTGCCTATGGCGGAGTGATTCATTTTTAAGGCATACGTTTGTTTTTTCTTGTAATGGTTGGAACCAACAATAACTGCTGGTCAGTCATGGCTTTTTGTGTTTTCACATAATGCGTGCCACGTATTATATGGTATAAAGGAAAAAAAAAAAAAAGATGACAGTGCAATCCGTTCCTTGGAGACATTTCGAAGCAGATGCTCCAACCCAAGCCTTCTCAACCATGGTGGGATGGATCAAAGAGCAGGAGATCCGAGGCCAAAGTTTCTCCTCGCCCGCCTATGGAAGGTCACCATGCCGCTAGCTGTGCTATGCTATTATTTGCTCTTGGGTTCAATGGAAGGGCAACTCCAGCCAAAGAGCCAAAAGCACAGCTGAAGGAACTCTTTGACTTCCAATTGTAAGATGATCCAGCCACCCACTTCTCTGCTATAAAGCCGTATTACATAATGAGGGTGACATCACTCTTTAACGTCCAACATACTTTGTGCCCTCCCCACTCCTCTTTCCTGCTCTCCAGGTTACTAGAACACATCAACACACTGAGAATGCCCATCCTGAGCTCTGATAGTCTTGTAATCCTATCCAAGTACTTCCCACTCCCAAAAAGTTTAAGAGTAGCCACTCCCACTGCAAGCCTGATATGAGCCTTCAACTCATAGTAAGATACATTTCAGGTACTGGTGCAGATTAAAAGTGAGTTTATTACTTCTAAAGGAAGACATAAAGTCAGCTGAAGGTATTTGTATTAATTTAAAATAGATGTAAATGCTAACTGGATGACATTTGGCATTATTTGCCTCTCGTTGCTGAAGATGGCCTCAGTAGGGTACTGTTGAGGCAATTTAAACATAGACAACACATACATCACTGTATTATTAAATTCGGAAATGGAAAGTTGGATTCGGATACATTCGGATGCATTGGGATTCGTAAATTCGGATGTGTCCGAATATCCAAATTTCGGAAGATTTGTACGAATTTTGATTCGGAACAAAACAAAATCGCACATGTCTATAAAACACAAAACTCTTTAGTAGAATGACTTGTAGGGTATCACCCATAGGCCTCTTTCCCAACCCAACACTTCCTACAAGTGAGGCCGATGTTGGCTACTTCCACCATGAATTTATTTTCCACATAGTTGTAACGTATCTTCTACGTTCTCATTATCCCGATCCCCTCTTGTCTGCTGAAACATAAATAACTATTCCATCTACGGCAATAACATCTCTCATCACCCCGGGATGATAATAATCATTGTGTTGTATTATATAGAATAATCTGAGTGTTCCAAGACCTGAAGAGTATTAGGACCTTCTAGCCAAGGTGGGGGAAACTAGATCCTGGTTTGTCCCACTTTCTGCTTATCTCTTTTTTTCACGTTTCTTTGGAATATTATTTGCTGTAGCTTTATAAAATAGAACTGTGCCGAAGCTAAGTTATTTGTTGATGTTTGATGATTTCTGTGTGTGTGTTGGAAGGCGAGAAAAGCCTTCCGTAAATATGGTGCTTAAAGTTTATTATATAGTATATCTTGTGTGCTCTTGGTTTAAAAGAGAACTCCTGACTCAATATACAATTCAGCAATGGGCGTGTCACGTGGATGGCCTATTTTACATACAATTTTTTTATTAGACTTATTATTATTAATAATAATAATATTGTATTATTATGATTAGGGATGCACCATATTTTCAAGACCGAGTACGAGTGCCGATACTTTTCCTCAAGGCCTGATACCAATTACCAATACCTTATTTTTAGTGTCGTGACAGTTTTTCTAAAACAATACAGAGTAATAATTTAAGGAGAGTGGTGGAGAGCCAGGGCCCTGTCGCATCTGCGACTCCTGCTACCCGGGTAGTTCTGCCACTGCCTCCAAGCTGTGGAGGGATTACAAATCCAAGCAATACATTATACATTGATACATCGATGCAGAATTCCCCTATAGAGGACTACAAATATCAGAAATACATTCTACAGCAATGCAGAATGGCACTGGCTAAAGCGGACATCCCAGAAATACATTATACAGTAATGCAGAATAATGCCATCAGCTAAAGAGGACTACAAATCCCAGCAATGCATTATACAGCAATGCAGAATAATACCTTCAGCTATAGAGGACTACAAATCCCAGCAATACATTATACAGCAATGCAGAATAATACCATCAGCTAAAGAGGACTACGAATTCCAGCAATTCATTATACAGCAATGCAGAATAATACCATCAGCTATAGAGGACTACGAATCCCAGCAATACATTATACAGCAACGCAGAATAAAACCATCACCTACAGAGGACTACAAATCCCAGCAATACATTATACAGCAATACAGAATAATACCATCAGCTATAGAGGACTAAAAATCCCAGCAATACATTATATAGCAATGCAAAATAATACCATCAGCTATAGAGGACTACAAATCCCAGCAATACATTAGCAGCATTACAGAATGATACCATCAGCTATAGAGGACTATGAATCCCAGCAATACATTATACATCAATGCAGAATAATACCATTAGTTATAGAGGACTACAAATCCCAGCAATATATTATATAGCAATGCAGAATAGTATATAAATTTGCTGCATACTCTGTGCTGCTTTACTGCTCCAGGGTGCTGGCCTGATGTCTTGTGTGGAAGGTCTCAGTAGTGGAGAGGTGCGGGCAGGCTCTGTAAACAGGTGCCACTTGGTTCCCCTTAGAAGGCTCCCGCGAGGTCCCCAGGAAGCATGGGACCTCAGGCAGCCAAATTGAATAAAGTGCTGGTATTGGTTTTTAGTATTGGGGCATTTTCACAGGTACTTGAAAAAATGCCCAGGATTGTTGCATCCCGAATTATTATTATTATTATACATTTCTCATACATTTTCAGATGACCTTCCTTCTGTACACAATGACATTGGACTAACTGACTGCTAACCTTCAGTACAGGCCCTTCTGTTGCTCATAATAAAGGGAGACTATAATATAAAGTTTTTATCACATATTTTGCAATTTCATGCTCTTATTTACCTGAATTTTTGTACATGACTTTCATACTTTGGTTTGCTTACTGTACCATATCTGTATATGCACATGTGTACATGCTCCCTCCAGTGACTCCAGTGACTATCTATATATTTAGAAATATTTTCAGCATTTCCAGTTTTAGGAGATCATATATAGCAGGGATGTGCAACTCCGGTCCTCCAGCTGCTGTGGAAATACAAGTCCCATGAGGCATTGCAAGACTCCGACAGTCACAGACACGACTCCCAGAGGGCCAGTGTTCTATCAAATTCTCTAACTCGCCGAGACCTCCAACTCCCTTCAGTGCGCCTGCACAGCCACCCAAGAGAAGTATTAAAGGAGAACTATGGGGTAAGTGTTTTTCCCCATAGTTCTCCTCGGGGTCAAGGGAGGACATAAACTAGCGACCTCCCGTCACCCAAAGCTCAGTATACCGTGAGCTGTACTGAGACTGCCCCAGCTGGGACGGATCCCGACATTACTGTCGAGATCCACCCAGCTGCGTGATTGACAGCTGGCTCTGCCTATCTAGTGAAAATTACTCACCTCATAGTTCTCCTTTAAGCTCTACAATTTGTGGCAGTGCGTGCCTGCACGGGCACCTGGTGCCACAAGCACCGACGGGAGTTGGAGAACTCGATGATCATTTTGAAAGCGCACAGGCGCACCTACGGCAACTGGAGAATCCAACGAGGATTGCAAAACAGTGACGGCTGGCGCACTAGCGCCATAAAGTCTAAATCTACAACGGACGTGACGTCACGAGTTGGAGATCTCGACGAGTTGGCCACCTCGACAGAACACTGGAGTTGCCCACACCTGATATAGAGGTTAATTTATTAAAGTTTGCATGATGGCCAAGATGGTGCTGGCGAGTTTGGGAAATATCTTTACTTTTATAAATTACCCCATGGTGTATTTTCAATGAGCACAGAATGATAATGTTATTGCAGTGTTTTCTTTCATTTTGTTTAATGATCTTTATATTTTAAATAATTGTTCTTATATATTTGTATTATTGTATTAAATATAAATATTTCTGGTTTAACCACTAGAGGGAGCTCTGTATTACAGCCCAGCTTCATTCCACCTCCAAAACTAACCTCCGGCCTTCCCTTCAGTCTTGTACAGCTGCTCCGGCTCCTCTCCTGGACTGAAATTACTTCCTCTGATTTCACTGCACACTGTGAGTTTCTCGCAATGTTCATTAGAAGCTGCAGACACTTCCTGGCTGGAGGACCTCCATCTAGTCCTTTCCTCCCCAACCTAACTGTCTACGTTTCAGTCATTGGATTTCAATTTGATCAATCACGGAGGCTGAGCTTCACATGTGGGTATTAAACAGAGTGGTCTGCATGCAAATGCCGCTTGTTTAGGAATAACCACTCATCCAGACTGACACCCACTCATATAGGAATTTTGATGTTTGCATAACTCCCAAGGGCCACCCCACTACCAGACATACTTGGGGGGGATGGGGGCAAAAGGGTATGAAAACATTCTTAGTAAGTTTCCCTATGTATGTGAACGTTCTCATTTATCCAGGAATATATATGGTATATCTGGAAAAAATAAGTCAAGGCAACTGGACTTTCTGTATTTTTCTTGAAGCTGTTTCACTGGTCATCCGACCAGCTTTCTCAATTCAGAATGACTTGTACCAAAATTATCTGGGAATAAATATGGTGAATGTTGCTCCAATCCACATAAGCTGTTAGTCACAACCAGATTTGCATAATTGGAGCTAGGAGGTGTTATTAACCCGCCCAGAGTGACCTTTTTCCTTTAGATGTGGGTACACTGCTGAATCCTGACCAGAGGGTTTGGTTATTCTATGCTGTGCCATACACTGGTGTAGCTGCTGTTTTGTTTCAAGAAAAATACAGCATGTCCAGTTGCCTTGACTTATTCTTTTCCAGATAAAAGTTTCCTTACCCTGTTGCAGCCCCCCAAG